AGCCACTGGGGGCACCCTCACTGCCCCCCTCTCATCCTTAGCTCGGCACTAGCTTGCTGTATGGTATCCCATGTGTATGCTAAAGGGAAACTCTAGGCTTGTGTTTCAGTAGTAAGGATATGCATCAGGTGACCTATATTCCAGCCATCACGGTCCAAACTTAAACTACCAGAAGCAAAGCAACCCAGAGAGAATAATAATTAACTAGGAAAACGCTTAGGAAAACACTTTAGCTTAAGGAATTGGAGAAAACATTTATCTGACATCTGTGTCCGTGCACAGGAAAAGTTAAAAACGCCTCATTGACTATGTGATGCTTGAAATTATTTGCCTTTAGAGTAGTGTAAAATACAGTTCTAGTCTATCTCTGAAGCCAGAATAAATTGCTTTAATAGTGTCTGGAAGAAAAATTGTGTTGGCATTTAGCTTTTACTGTCACTGTAATTTCCATACAACACTTGGGATTCCTGAGACCTGTTCTGCTGCAAAACTTTATGTGGGTGTGTGTGGGCACTGAAGGAACCCTGCTTGGTGCTGAGTTGGGTCCAAGCACCAGGACTAAAAATCCAGCATAGATTTTCGAAGTGTGTTGAAGTTTGTACATCATTATACAACATTCTGGTTAATCAAATCTTTGCATCAAATCTGTTTTATGAGCTACATCTGACAACTTCTACACTGGGATGCACCTTTTTTGCCTCTTGCATTAACTAATACTCAGTAGCACATAGCAGAGTGACTGACTGCATCTCTCCTTGTCAGATACTAGACCTGGGAGCAAGAAGTACATGGTCAGACTGCTGACTTACCTGCCAGGTACACCAGTAGCAAAAATCACTGCCAATGCTCAGCTTCTCTATGAGATTGGGAGGTTCGCTGCCAGCGTGGATAAAGTGCTCTCAGAGGTGAGTTCTCATGCTTCAGCCTCAGACTTCTCTCTTAATCAGTGTCTCCAGCATCTGCTCACTGCCTTTCAGTGCTTGCTGCCTGCTTTTCTGACCTGCAAAATGCAAGTTGGTGACTGCAGATGTCAGTTTGACTCATGGCTCTGGTGCCAGCCTCCAAGCTGGCTGCTATGGAAGCCTTTCCCCGAGTCCATGACAAGTGACATGGTACTGGTGACCCTTCTGCAAGGCGTTTTTGTACCACGAATAGGGAGATAAGGAGTTCTTTTCACTTATGCAAAGCTCACTGGTAGTGTTTCAAACCTGGCAAATAAAGGAGAATGAACCCTAGGGTTCCCGAATTAGAAAAATGCCAAGCTCTTTTTAAAGGATTTTTTGTAGCCACAGCTGGCTAATCCATTATCTTTAATTCCTTTTGACTTGCTCTCTTTCTTCTTGTCATTAGCACTGTGAGTATTTCACATAGGTACCCTCCCTACAGTGCCAGCTGTGCCAACAAACAGACCTGTGACACTTCTCATTTGCACCACTTCCATTCAGTCTTAATGCAAAGCAAGATTTGTCTTTACTCTGCAGTTACACTGGATAATAAGGCTTATCAATCAGCCAGTAAGTAAGTCTGATGCATGAAAGGCCTCACATTATTTATTAACCTTTCATTAACCTTTCCTTCTCATGTTCTAGCTACCAGCTTCAGACAGTTTTACTAAGCACATTCTTAAATTACAAGGACATTTTTCAGTTGTGAAAGATAACTTAGTGTTGCCTTCTGACACACTGGTCACACTCTTATAATGTGATTAAAATAAGTTAGTCTCAAAATATGCCTGTGATTGATCCTGCTAAGGAAGAAGTAGTTAATGAGAAGCAATTCTGATGGAAAAGGCTCTTTATTCCCTTAACATATGGATTATCATCCACCAAGGTGGTTTAGGCTTGAACTTGTTCTTTACTTGTTCATGCACCGTCCACTTTTGACTATCATAGTGATCTTGAAGAGCCTTAATTACAAGCATAGATACTATTGGGTTTTTTATTAAAAGGAAGCCAGCTACTCTTGTGGGAAGGTTTTTCTTTTTTTTTTTTTAATTTTCCCTATGCACTGATCCAATCTGGCCCAGAGGTCACCTTCATAAACATTTGAGGAGTCCAAGATAAGCATGGGGCGTGCAGTGGGAGGGATGCTTTTCCTCTCTGAATGTCACTTTCCAAACCATCCCTTCCCTTTGCTTGTGAGAGAGGGGTTAAAGACCTTGTATGTTTAAAGTAGTGAGGCCTGGATGTCCAAAAGCACATTTTCATAAGCATAAAGCCGTGGTCAGCTTGGTCCATAAACTCCTGTGCTCAGGACTTTTCACACACCAGCTGTTCCTAAGGCTTGTCCCCCAGAGGTCCCACATTTAAAAGCACAGAGTGTGCCTGCTCCCAGCACGCTGGCAGGGTTTGTGGCTCTGGTGCTCCCACATCTTTCTGCAGCACCAGCTGTGCAGGCTGAGCTCTGCCAGAGCAGGACTCTGGCCTTGGCAGAGGCTCAAAGTTGCTACTAACATCACCCTATGGACAGTCAACAGCAATTTTACACTACTGAAGTGGCAAATGACTAAAGGTAATCTTTGTACCTAAAACACGGGGGAAAAACATTCAGGCTGTATGTAGATACTAAGATGCTTGCCTTAGTCATTCTTCAGGTTGTTCTTTTACTTGATACAAAACAACGGTCCAACTCAGGGTGCTTCTCAGTGCGTCTTACTAGAAACCTGTTAAAATTAAAAGGGGTTTTGAATCAAGCCCTTTAATCACAAAATCAACAATTTTTCTTATGCCTATATTATTATGTGCTTTTTCCAAATAAGTTCCAGCATCCAACAGTAAAAAATCTGCATCGAGGTCAGTTCATTTGGAACCTGGCAAATGTTCCTCTTCTGGATCAGTACATTTATGCCTTGGGCCAGAACAAATACCGTGCAGTGGTGGAGCAAGTTATTGAGCAGTTTAAAGACAAAGTAATACCCAAGCTAAGCAGTTTCCGAGCCTGTGAGTATTTTATTCTCATTGTTATTATGTTGAACTGAGACACAGAAATTTCTTACAGGAGTTTGGCTCTGTACAGAAGGGAAACAAAAATGGCAAAAAAGTAAATCTCTTTTCTCTAGCCTAGACATGGACAATTACTGTGCTGAATGTGCACAGCACAGAGTAAGCCAGGAGGAATGTTCTGTCCAGTCAGAGTCAGTTCTTTATCTTCCTGATGAGTTTGCTTCCAGTTAAGTTTATGATTTTCATGCTGTTATATCAACTCCCTAAATATATACAGAGTACAGTACTACCTTTCATAAAGGCCCAAGCAAGTACCTAATCCAATTTTTGGAATTCAGTTGACATTGACATTGATGATATGACAGTTCTATAGTTGGAAACTACTGCTGTGTGTTTGCAAATATGCAGTGTATCTATCACAGGTCACAACAGCCCCAGAATGCTCCATCTTGGCATGCTCCCTCTTGGAAAGGCAGCACTTGGTGCTGCAGGGGACTAGTGGGGCTTTGTAGCTGAGTATTAGTTTGCATCTTCCCATGGCTGTACTGTTTCTATTTCTTCTGTGTTTAGGTATCAATCATGGAGACCTTAATGACCACAACATTCTAGTAGACTCCAGTTCTGCTTCCCTGGAGAATCCCCAGTACAGAGTGTCTGGCATCCTGGACTTTAGCGACATGAGTTATGGGTATTACGTGTTTGAGGTCGCGATAACCATCATGTACATGATGATTGAGAGCCCAGACCCTCTGAGTGTTGGGGGACACGTTCTCGCAGGGTTTGAGAGCGTCCTGCCGCTCACGGCCGAGGAGAGAGGTGCCCTCTTTCTCCTGGTGAGCGGGAGGTTTGCACAGTCCCTCGTCATCGCCGCCCACACGGCTCTGCTGTACCCAGAGAACCGGGAGTACCTCACAATCACAGCCAGAACTGGCTGGAAACACTTACTGACAATGTTCGAGGTGGGCCAGGAGGCTGTGGAGAAGGCGTGGTTTGAGACTGCCCAGGCGTACAAACAGCACACGCCTGTGCCGTCGGTGCGCGGCTGCTGAGGGGCCGGGGTGACACCACACATATAAATAAAGCAATGAAGGCGGCGCTGCCTGGGCTGCGTGGGGCTGGGACCAGGCTCGTCTTGGGAGAGAAAACCATTGCTGCCCTCACGGTGGGCACAGGGTGCGCGGCCATTACTGCCCTCACGGAGGGGATGAGGTGTGACCACCACCTGCCATCCACGAAGGATGTGAATGTGGCTGTGCCCATTCCCTGCCCTCAACAGAGGGGACGTGCTGTGTCCATTCCCTGCCCTCACAGAGGGGATGCACTGTGCCCATTCCCTGCCCTCACAGAGGGGACGCGTTGTGCCCATTCCCTGCCCTCACAGAAGGGACGCGCTGTGTCCATTCCCTGCCCTCACAGAGGGGACGCGCTGTGCCCATTCCCTGCCCTCACAGAGGGGACGCGTTGTGCCCATTCCCTGCCCTCACAGAGGGGATGCGCTGTGCCCATTCCCTGCCCTCACAGAAGGGACGCGCTGTGTCCATTCCCTGCCTTCACAGAGGGGATGCACAGAGCCCATTCCCTGCCCTCACAGGCGGACAGCGCCGTTTCCCGCCCCTCTGGGCGGAGCGCGGGCACGCGCACATGGCGCTGAGGGCCGCGCGCGCCAGCCCCGCCCCGCAACGACAGGAAAGGGCGCAGGCCCCGCCCCAGGCCGGCCCGCGGCACCGCGCAGGCGCGGCGGCCATTTCCGACGCGGCAGTGAAGGTTCGGGCGCGGCCGCAGCGCCCGGTTCCTGCCCGCCGGCCGGGCCTCGCCGCCCCCCGCCCGGCGCAGCGGTTCCCTGCGGCGCGCCGTGAGTGAGGACGGGCGGCGGGCGGGCGGTGGAGTGCGGGACGCGTCTCTGCGGGGCGCGGGAGGTGGCGCGGCCCGCGTGTTGTGCCGCGCTGAGGATGACTGTGCAGTGCGGGCGCGGCCGCAGCGCCCCCTGGGGCCGTGCCGGGGCGCGCTCGGTGCCCGTTCCCGGGATTCCCGGTTCACGTGCCCTGTGCTGTCTTGCAGGCCCGGTGCCGGTTCCCGTGCCCTGTCCCCTCCTGCCGGCTCGCTGCCCGCTGCCCGCGGCGCGTCCCTGGCACCATGGTGAGTGACCCGCCTTTCCCGGAGCCTTACCGAGCCGCGGGTCCTGCCGAGTCACGGCCCGGGCGGGGGTGGCGGGCGGCGGGCACCGGTGACTAGCCCGAGGGCACCGAGTGGTTGGCTCTGTTATACAGGGGCTTTAGGTGACAAGAGACTGGTTATACTTACTGAGCTATTCCTTTTACAGTCTCGAAGATATGACTCCAGAACTACCATATTTTCTCCGGAAGGTATTTTTTAACCCAACACTATCAAGTAAACTCTGACTGTTTTATCTGTCTTATCAAAACTGTCAAAACACTTGCACAGAGGGTGGTTGTTAGTAGTATGATTCTATCTGAATATGAATTACAAAAATTTACCCACACCCAGTTCTGTAGGGATAGCAAGGGTCCAAAGTGGGCACTTTCAAATTCATTCTAATTGAAGCAATAATGAGACTGAGTCTCATTAGTGAGTAATATTACTCGCCATGCCTTTGAAATAACTATTTATCTCTTGTTTGAGTATGGTTAGATTTTTGTCACTATCCCCTGAGAATGGATAATATCCTGCTGGTACGGTCACGCCTCTCCTTGTTATTCTTGCACATGCTGAAACAAGTATGTACAAAACACGTTTTCTTACTTCTTAGATGAGCTGAACCCAAGAAATCCGGTATAAAATATTTTCTTTGTTTACTGAAAATTCGTCAGCTTATTCTACTGAAGCAGAGAGTTCTTTAAATTTTTTTATTTTCTTTTTTTTTAATAGAAGGCTTTTTTTTCCCCAGTGGCCATGTCCAGTATTACCTCTTTTTCTTTCTCTGAATCCTTCCTCCTTTTCAGCCAATTAATTTACAATTGACTGCTAAGAGACTGAAAGAGTAGATGGGACAATGAGCACTTGTCAGAACTTTAGGTCACCTTGTGTGGCTGGTCTTGTTCAGTGTCATTTGTTGACGGTGGGAATTCCATGGTTGCGCAGGTCGCCTGTACCAGGTGGAATACGCCATGGAGGCCATCGGCCATGCGGGCACCTGCCTGGGAATTCTCGCAAACGATGGAGTTCTGCTGGCAGCGGAGCGGCGCAACATTCACAAGCTCCTGGATGAAGTGTTCTTCTCAGAGAAAATATACAAACTTAATGAGTAAGTTGAAATGGTGATTAAACGTTCAATGATGTTATTAACAACAAAGTGCCGATTAGCACATAACCTGGTCTTACTTTATTTGAAGTGTTAATGATCTTTTTGTTTGGTGTTTCAGACAAGTACAACTATTCTGTCATTGTTCACTTTAGTAGTTCCCTTTCTGAAGTAGAAGTATTGCTGGTTTGTTTTTTTTTTATCTCTAGGAGAATTTTCTAGGTGGAATAGCCTGTTTGTTGGTACTACGCCATACAAGGTAATGGTATTGTAGCAGTTCAGAAAACTGGGAAATCTCAGTTTTACAAAATACCGTGGGGGGGCAGAATAAAGAATGTACACAAAATTACCATGCTATTTCAGCTCCCCTTCCACATCTCTGTTTTTCTTTGGTGGCTTGAAAAGTACGAGATAACTGGGTAAAACATACCTTAGGCTTCTTTGCCACAGCTGCAGCAGAGATGAAATGTCTTTCTATTACCATTTTCATTCTAGCTCCTGGAAGTTAAATTTGTGATGTCAGAGCAAAAAGTTTTATGGATTTTGCTTTCTTGTTGCAAGGGAGGTAGAGCTTCATCCTTGACAGAAGCTGCACGTGAGCACAAATAGTTTTCCATGCTATCTGCCTCCCATTCCGTGTTGATCTTGAAAGCACTTGGAATGGTAGGAGGTACTGGATTTTCAAGGAGGCAATGTAACAGCATGCTGGAATAGTCACCTAGAACAGCCCTTCCATCTTCTGGAAAATTCCTAATTTCACAAATCCTTTTTGTGTACCAAAAGATTTATAGCATATCAGATTGAGCTAAAGAGATACTAAATTAAGATCCAATGAAACAATCAAGGATTGAAGTGCTTGTTTTTCTTAGGGGCCTATCAAGAACATAAAGTTTCAGTCACACAGATGCCACGTGTCAGCCTGTCACCTCTGTGTGGTTCCTTCAGCGTGGGGTGTGCTGTGCCAGGCAGCCTCCTGAGAGGCACTTGTATGTATGTGCTTAATGGCTCTGGTAAAACCATTCAGAACTTAATCATCCTTGGCATGACTGTCTTCTCAGAGCTAGGTGTATAACTAACATGCTGACTTCTGCTGTCCACCTTTACTCTCAGCAGATGGTTACTGATGTTTTTGGTGCACCCTAAAGGCAGGAGCTGATGAACCCATTTTGTACGGCAGCTGTGTGGTTTTGATCAGAAAAGCCTGACAGCAGGTGCTCTGCTTAAACCCCAGTATGAAGATGTGAGTGTTGGCCGGAGATTGACAGGAATTCAGCTCATTTGTATGCTTTTCTTGCAGGGATATGGCGTGCAGCGTTGCAGGAATAACTTCAGATGCTAATGTTCTAACCAATGAGCTGAGACTGATTGCACAGAGGTAGGTGTGCTGACAGCTAACATGGTTTTACTCGCCTGTGCTGTCAAACTCGGCTCTCTTTGTGCATTAGATCAGAATGAACATGCATTTAGTAGATCAGAAGTAGGTTGAAATAGAACAGCTAGATCACAGAGGCTCTAACTTGGGAACTTGTTTCCTCTTAAATGTTGTGCAGGGTATGGTCAGCAAAGCAAGCTTTGAGAACTGTTTTTTTTTCCTCTTTGATATTAGGTATTTGTTACAGTATCAAGAGCCCATTCCTTGTGAACAACTTGTGACAGCATTGTGTGATATCAAGCAGGCTTATACACAGTTTGGAGGTAATGGAATTGGATGAATCGTTGTGTTACTAAATGTCTCAAGAACAATTCTCTTACATAATATGAAGGATTTAAGTCTGTGGACAGTTCTACTGAATTCTCTTAAAAAGTTATACTTAGGAAAAAAATAGCCTAATTTAAGAGGGGAATGGGTAGTCATGGTTACTGTTTTTTGCTGCTGAGGCTTCTACTTTTTATGGCTTGGGAAACTGATGGCTGAGATGCTGGCCCATTGCATAGAATCCTTTGAGTGCTCTTGCATTTAATAAATGCCTTCAAAAGACCAGCAGAGAATTGTTTAGGCAGCCTCTCAACATTTTGGGCCCACCCAGCACATTGGCACAATGAATCAAAACCAAGGCTGTATGTAGGGGTATCAACAGTCTAACACTTGAAAAAATAAATGTTTATGTGGCTCAGGCAACATATTGGAAAATGATATTGTAAGTAGTGTTCCTTAGTATGTAAATCAATAATTCTGTTGTTTTATGTGTATGTAGTGGGAGAGAATTACTTTTTAAACTACCTGTCTTTTGACACTGCTAAGTTAAATGCTTTAACAGCTCAGCTACATACTTGAAATACTAAAATTTGATTTAAAGTCCTGAGATGATAAATTACAATTTGTGGAGACACAAATGAACTGCATTAAGGTTAAATGGAATAAACCTCTGCAGCCTCCCACCCCGTGACTTAGAAGGAAATGCTGGCGTGCTTATCTCAGCAACAGAAGTGCAGAACTGTCTGTTAAATCCTACTTCACAGGAATACATTGAAAAACGAAATCAAAGAAAATAATTGTCACTCATGACCAATCTTGTTACTAAATTTAGATTGCTAATAGACTTCTTTTCAACAGGAAAACGTCCTTTTGGTGTTTCATTGCTCTATATTGGCTGGGATAAGCATTATGGATTTCAGCTGTATCAAAGTGATCCTAGTGGAAATTACGGAGGGTGGAAAGCCACATGCATTGGGAATAACAGCGCTGTAAGTTCTGGGTTTTTTCTTCTCAAAAAGACAAGTTAAGTGTAAACTGTACTGTATTAATTAAGTGGAGTTGTTGATTATTAGTGCAGGAGAGATTCACAGGTAACTGTAGAAACGCTGCTGTTAACTCATGTGTTGGTATCATCTGGCAAAACCCCAACCAAGTGGTTGATTGCCCAAAGACACCATTTTAATTTCTGTGGAATTTACAGGCAGCTGTGTCAATGCTGAAGCAAGACTACAAAGAAGGGGAGATGACCTTAAAGACTGCCCTGGCATTGGCTATTAAGGTTCTAAACAAAACCATGGATGTCAGCAAGCTCTCTGCTGAGAAAGGTGAGTATTGGCTGACACGGGACAGCACCCTCTGCTTAGACCAAGGGAGCAGTGAGGGCACGTGTTCCAGATGTGGCTCACTGCAGCGTTAGTTGTCACCAAGCAATGTTTTCAGAAGATGCAGCAGTTGTCAGCCTTAGCCTGAGGGGCATCCAGATAGCTCAGTGCAGGCTGATCCCTGCCCTGAGGAGAGGCTGCAGTTCAGTTTGGGGATTGAGGTGCCTGGTGCGGGAGCAGAGCCCTGAGAGGAGCTCCCCTGCTGCTGTGCTCTGCTGCAGGAGGGGACTGCGTGGCACAGGGAGCACTGCAGCCTCCTGCCTCACCCTCACTTGTCATCTCACACCTTGCCCTGCTGATGATTGCTGTGCCTAAACACTGCTGTCTGTTCCATGTGTTTCAGTTGAAATTGCAACACTGACAAGAGAGAACGGAAAGACAGTAATAAGGGTTCTGAAGCAAAAGGAGGTGGAACAATTGATAAAACAACATGAGGAGGAGGAAGCAAAAGCTGAACGTGAAAAGAAGGAGAAAGAACAAAAAGAGAAGGATAAATAGAATATGAAATCAAGTGTTCTCTAGATAATAAAGGACCTGCTTCAGCAAAAGATAATCTGGATTTCTGTGCTGTAGAAGCCTACAGCTATGCCATGGAGGACCCAGAAGTACTTTTGATGAACCAGGTTCTTAGTCATCATTTAGATAATTAGTTTACTGCTCCTTACATTGACCAATAATTGCTTTAATTCTTGAACACTCTTTCTTTCATCTACTTTTTATTATGGAATAAAATTTAAGAAGAATAGTGATGGGTGTCTTTATTTCCTCAGTAATGCCTGGATATGCACCATCTTGAGGAATTTAATTGCTTTAAACCATTAAAACAAGGTATATGCTAGTTGGTAAAGAGCAAATATGGTGTTAGAATTGTTAGAATTTTGTGTGTATGTGTGGGTTTTCCTTTTAAGGTAGTGAAAAGAGCTCCTAAGTTTGAAAAGTCATTTCACAGATACAGAATTAAAGTGTGCTGGCATGCCAAGTTTTAGTTTTGGCCTATTTTGTTCTATAGCAGGCTCTGTCAAACTGATGGTCTTGCAAGCAGTAGTGTTTTAAAAATGCCCTGTAGAGCAAATGTGTTCAGTTTATCATAGCCTTCACAAGTGCATGTGTTTTCTAAGGAATTAATCATACAACACTAGTTATAAGTCACACAAACTAGAAAGACATTTTAAAAAGGCCACGTGAAAATGCTTTATCTTGTCAAAGTACAAATAGGTAAGTAAAATAGTGCATGATTTTTAGGCCATGTTGACTATTTCACATTTTATCCTGAAAGGAAATTGAGGTGCTTTATGGTTAGTTCAGTGTTGCTGCTACTTTCCCAGTGAATTTGGTTCCTTTCTCTGACACACTGGTCAAGAAATCATAACTGTGCACGAATTTGGAATCATAGTCATTTTTGTCCAGCTTGTCCCTATACGGAATGCAAAAAAGCATGATTGTCAGATTAGCAAAAATCTCTACTTCTGAAAAAAAAAGTGATCTGGAATAAACAAAAGAACTGAGTATAAGTTACTGAAGATTACTGTGCACCCATTCAGATATGGAAAGTGAAGTGGAAAGCCTGAGTGACATGCTTAAAAGTGAGGCCTTGCTGAATTTCAAACCATAGCAGTGGTGATCCAGCCCCCTTGTGCCCACCCTGGACTGGATTGATCTTGTAGGTTGGTTTGGTTTTCTTACCCCGAAGGATATCTGATGTGTACAGATTTAATATGACCATTTAAAGAAACAGAGTGACTCCATACGGTGTTTTGCTGGTTTTAATCCATCGCAGACATTTTTGACTAAAATGTACTTTGTCAACATGGCCAGAAATGACCCTTCCTCTCAACTAAACCCATTTTTGAGCTCACTGCTGTAAGAGTCGCTGTTGAGGAGAGAGAGAAGGAATCTGACTCAAGATGTCTGTGCTGCAGCTTGTGCAGCTGTCCTGCACTCACTCTGGCAGTCTCTGCACACAGGGGGGAGGCTGTGGGTTCTCTGCAGGACCTGCCTTGTCATTCTCTAAGGCTTGATGCAGACCAGTTGCTTTAGTCTTTAGCACTGAACTTGGATAGCATTTTGTTAATGCTCAAATTTTATAGCTAATGGAAGTTCAAGTGACTTTTATTTACACCTTGTTCAACAGTAGGTCTTCCAAATGACAACATAGGAGTGGTATTTCATGTAACAAGTCCTGAATAGTTGCAGACAACATCCAATGGGTAATATTTAATCTCCCATTATAAAGGATTGTATAAATACCTCAAGCTCCATTTTATGTAGAAATTCAGTGCTCAATCTTTCTATTTTTTGATACCATGAATGCAATATATCAGCATCTTTTGCAGATTTCTGGATCACTGATGATGGTTATACAAGTACTTGGAATATGCTCTAAAAGCAGCAATGCCAAAATGGAGTTTTTTCTCACTTCTCAAAGATTACTTGCAACAATATGTGATAGATTCCAGCAATGCTTTCTGTCTTCTAGAAAACTTAGAGCATCTGAGCTTGTGTTCATCAATGTATATAGTTCATAAAGGCAGTTTGTTTAGTGTAATAGTGTAAGTATTACCAGATAGCTTAGAATAGAGACTGACTAAAATATTTTTCTTAGAAGCATCTTTTTCTAAAAAAATGGGGATAACTCATATATGCATATCTTGGTTTAAAGGATTACCAATACCATTTCCTTGCCAAACGTGGCATCATTTGCTGGTAAAGGAGAACTTTTTAGATACTGTAATAATAAAAAATTGGAATGACTAATAAACGTATTGCAACCTTGTGATAAGTTTTAAAAGATCTATTTATTTAAAGGTTTTGTTTGCACAAAGTGGAAGAAGTATTGTCTAATACTTCATGAGTATAATCTTTGAGCAGTAATTAGCAATTAGATGTAAAAAACTGTCATCTCTCCGGAGTGCCATTAATACCTGATTGTGAGCTGAGCCTCAGCACTGCCTTGGAACAGGCAAGTAACTCTAGCTGGCAGTCATGTCCAAGATGTACAGCCGAGTTCTCCTAACCAAAATTTCGTTTGTGATTCTTTTCTGCATTGAGCCCAAGGCAGTAAGCAGATGCTGGAGATCTTTCATGATTAGAATCTTCCTGAGCCACCTGGACACTAATGCAAGTTTTTTACCTGTTCTTCCTAGAAATAAGAGCAGTGCATTTGACTGCATTGGCCTATTGTGTTGATTCTGGCTTTGTGTGTTTTAAAAAAAAAAAAAAAAAAAAAAAAATCACCACCAACTGTGCCTTTCCTGGGAGTGGTTTGGGGATAAGTCGTAAGAACAGAAAAATGATTCTGGCGATACATTTGAGGTATCTTTGCTAATCAAAATGATCTTCCTGTTCTTTGTATGTTTTTTTTTTTTTTTTTGTGTACGTAGTGTTTACGTAGAGTTTACAGTGTATTACATAAGTATTTAAAATATTTAGCTATTGCTGTGGATTTAATGTTATTTTAAAACAAGAACTTCATGTGGTGCTGTGGAAGGTGACAGATTTTTCAAATTAGGTAAAAGTACTTAAAGTTGTTTGCATAATATGATGTTTGTAAGCTTAAAAAACTGGATAGCTTATATCTCACTTGAGTGCATGATAGAACTTGTTAGGGCAAATATGCAAATATTCACAAATAGATTGTCCTAAGAAATTGTAACGTGGTTTGTTATTCTAAGTAGTTTAAGAGATAATGAAACTACCGCTTCTCCAATAATTACCTGTGTCGTCTCTTGCATCTGTCAGTGTTTAAAAGTAGTTAGCTTGTTTTCTAGGTGCTGTATTCTGTTCAAATAAAGTCAAATTAACTTCCAAGACTGCTTCTTATATGACCTCCTTTAGGTATGCTTCCCTCTTCATCCAGGTATTTTACTTGTCAGTAAGAAAAGCACCCAAATTAAGAGACAAGAAAAGACTCCTGATGTTACATTTGACAGCTGCTTCTGGTTTCTTATGTATTTCCAAGGTAATTATTTATTCTTTCTGCTCATAACCTTAAAATTAGGAAAAAGTACTTCTCCACTGTGTTGTGAAAATGCATATAATGACTGAAAGGTGTTCAGTGGTTTCAGAGGCCTCAGGATTGTGTGTGATACATAGATAACACGGTTAGGCATACAAGACATGGAAGTCCAAGAAGCTGGTGCACTCAAATGCTTCATACATGAGAGAAATTGTGTAGTTTCAGACTGGAGGAGATTCTAAGACTTATTTAAATGTCTTTCATTTTCTTTAAAGTGTATTTTCCACTGCAGTTCTGCAGTAAAAATTATTATAATTTTAAGCTTTAATTGCGGTTATTTCTACTGCAATATAAAAACCCACTGAAGTTAGTGGATCTGAGAGTACCCTTCAATGGCTTTAATCTGGAGAAAATTCAGCTTCACAAAGTTTTTAGAATATTTCTCATTTTACAAATAGAACTGAGCAGCTGGCTATTTTTATCCGGGTTTAATTTGGCATTTGGCTTTCCAGTTAAACTACTCTTCAGTGCACAGCAAAAGCTGCCATCAGCCAATTTATGGCAGATTCTCAGAGCGTGCTTTAGCAGGGACCTTCAGATGTCACCTCCTGCTGACAGGGGTCCTCTGAAAGACAGCAGTACTCATGCAATTGTTTAGGCTTTCACTTCATGGTAAATATTAAACTTGACACGCTGCTGATACTATTATCATTCTGCTCCAAGTTCAAAAAAAAGCAGCTACTTATTTATAACTACTGTTTTCTAAAGCAGTAATAATACAACGTAATTAACATGTGCCAGATGATGCTACATAAAATATTTAGCAAAACGTTAGGCATGTAACCCAGACGGTTTAATCCTTTTATATCCTACAGCATCTGTTTTGCCTCGTTAGGACCCAGCTGCACACAAATCCACAGTTATGTAATAAAACCAGTTTCCCATGTCCTGCACGTTCTAGTGGCAGCTATGTTCAATATTGGGAGCGACACATTATGGCTCTAAAATGCATCTACTGCAGTGCACAGAAATACAGATTTTACCTGATAACCTCGTGTTAGAACACCAGGTGCAGTGCAGTAGTGAACCAGCTTCCATCAAAACTACAGAGTTGGCAGTTTCAGTACATATATTGCCTATTAATTCTTGAAGCACTCAGAAAATATCACAGCTACAGAGTGTTACCAAAAAAAAAAAAAAAAGTGGGAGTTTGTGCCCTGTTTTGAGCTGAAATATATTTTTCATTTACTATAAAATTTTGACCACTGCATATATACTGAGCACTTCAAAATAAGAGTCATGCTGCATCCTTTACACAACTATTTTGGTTGTGAAAGATTTGCCATATGCAAATAGATTCTCAATATATAAAATGACCATATTTACTGCAGAGCATTCAGATCAATAGAGCCTGTCACTAGAAATGTGCTGGAAGAAACTCCTGTGTAAGGAGTTTTTTGTGTGCTCGTGCAGACTGCATTATGTCTTGCACAGACATGCACAACCCAAATATAGCTGCAGGGAAAGATAATATAGGAAAACATCAGTTTGAAAATTAAGAAAGGGATTGAAATGCTCCAGTATTCTGTCTTGGTCACTGAAAAGATTCACCAGTTAGAGAGATGCAGTTTTTCTGTAAAATAAATAATTGGTATAAAAGAATCTTGACAATTGATAACATGCTTAATGAAATTTCTGTTTGGGTAGTGCTCACTTTAGAAAATTATGAGGTTGCTAAAATTATTTGAGTTAAATAAGGATCATTTTCCTGAGGAATCCTATATCCAGCACTTTTCATGTAGAAGCTGATTAACACTGTAGTCATTTAGCCCTTCTTTCCAAGACTTTCCTCTCTATAAAATATTAAACACTGTCTTAGATGTAAAAAATGCATTAATGCCAGCTGCTTCTATTTTTTGTGGCAATGTGTACACTGTACATTTCCATTAGGATGATTTGGGAAAAACCATTAATAAATTTCACAGTTTATGTGTTGAAAGTTGTCTTTTGTAACAGATTTTATTTATCTGATACAGAAATGGTGTTTTGTGTAGATTATTTATTATATACGTTATATATCTATAATATACCTAAAGATGTGCAAATATCCAAAGTCTTTTTAACTTGCATCAGTTCATCTACTTTAGATTAAAACTTCCAAAATATTCCGAATCAGTAACTTTAAAAAAATCGTACTGATTTAGAAACTTAAATCCCTAGTGTTCCGAATGCAATGGAAATCAGAAGTTATTTTTTCCGCCAGCAGTCACTTACACGTGCACCCTCCCAAAAGCACGCTGGTGCAGCAGCAGCAGCAGCAGGCGTTGCCCGGGTGGATGTGCCGGAGTCACCGAGCGCTGGCGCTGCGGCCGCGGGACAGGGACCCAGCCCGCGGGGCGCGCCGTGCTCGGCCTCGCCGGGAGCCGCTCCCGGGCTCTGGGTGGGCGCTGCCGCCTCCTCCCCTTGACGGCACCGGCTTCTGACCCGGGCCCCGCTGCCCGGGATTCCCGCCCCTCGCCCCTCACGGCCCCGCCGCCCTGCCTGGGATTCCCGCCCTTCGTCCCCTCACGGCCCCGCCGCCCTGCCCGGGATTCCCGGCCCTCGTCCCCTCACGGCCCCGCCGCCCTGCCTGGGATTCCCGGCCCTCGTCCCCTCACGGCCCCGCCGCCCTGCCCGGGGTTCCCGCCCCTCGCCCCTCACGGCCCGCGCGGGGCGGGGCCAGCACCGCCCGACTCCCGCCGCTCCCGGCTCCGGGTTGCCGCTGCCGCCGCCGCCGCGGGGCTCACAGGCAGCGGGGGCCGTGCCCCAGCCATGGCCGGGAGCGGAGCGCGGCTGCGCTGCGGCCGCCCCCCGTCCCTGCTCCTCCTCACCTGGTTCTGCGCGCCCCTGCTCGGCCGGCCCGCAGCCTCACACGCGGGTAAGGCGGCTCGGGGCGGCCGCGGGGGTTAGGGTCGGCGGGGCTGCTGGGGCGAGTGAAGGGTGAGAGGCTCTCCGTGAGGAGCCGGGAGGGTGCCGGAGGGGAGGGCTCGGGGGTTCCGAGCCCGCCGGGGATGGAGCGGCGGTACCGCGGGCCGGGTCCGTGCTCGGCCGGAGCGCGGGCAGCGGGAAGGTTCGTGAGGGGAGATGAGGCGGGCGGGGTTCTGCGGGGAGGGGAGAACGCTGCCGGCCGTGGGTTCCCTGCGCACCGGCTTCGTTCTCCGCTCTAGCAACTTTTTCCCGGACGAGGTGAAGGTAAGGCTGGTGCCGGGTCCGGTGGTGGCTGCTGAGGGAGGATCGCAGGGCTTTGAGAAAAGAGCGGGACCTCCGGAGACCGCTGTCAAACGGGCTCACCAGGGCTGCCCCCTCACAGGAGAGGGGGATGATGTCTTTGCTAAACTGCAGCTTTTCAGGTGCATTGTCAGTCTTGACTGCCTCACATTTCGCTACAATACCTGCACTTTCTAAATGTCTGTATATATAACGCTTTAAAGATCTCAGCTGCCACAGCTTTCAGTATTCTGCTCACTTTTTGAGAGTAGTAGGTTTGTAGTGCGTGCTCTGCATCCACACCTGGTACAGAGGTAAACTTGTAGAGTATATTTTAAAAACTGTAATTTCGCCTGTGGGTGTGACTGCACGTGAAAACAACGCTCTTAAGAATTTATAACAGATCTCTCTTTAGTTTGGTCGTGTGTTATTTCTTTGACTTCAAAAGAGGCAGTCTCTTAATTCAATCAGGATTTAACTTTCCGAGTTGAAGGATGCAAAATAGCAAAGCTGGAGTGTTTCTAGAAATGCACAAAGATTAAAGGAACAAAATCACTGCTCTTCTACAGATTTATTTAGAAACAGTTGTTTCAAAATGTTGCACTTACATAATTTGTAAGTACATTGCCAAGAGTTTTGCAGAATATCTTGAAAACCACAACTGCAATAATTACAGGCAGAAAGAAAACTAATGAAAGATAAATTTTACTTTTTTAATATTAACTGAAAATTGAAAATGTGATTGTAAATATGGTTTATGGAAAGTTGATTGCATCAACATCTAGGTTTTAATTCAGCCTACAAATACTCAGTCTGTTATTGCTGAATGTGATTTAAGAGATTATTCTTTCTCTCAGCATTTGTAAAAGTAGTGTTTTTTATGTTTTCATGACAGAAGATGCAAAATCATGATGTTACAGTGTATGATTTATATGACTGCATGGAATTACCTGCAGTCAGGGTAAGCTAAGCTTTGCCTGCACAAGCCAGCAGTTTTGACTTCACTGAGAACTGATCATATATAGTGAGGCTAAAATTTTCACAACTTGTTTTTTCTAAAATAAAATGAAATTTGCTATAAGAGTGCTTGTAAATTCATTAGGTCTTTCTTTCAGTTAACAGTGAACTAGAATTTTATTTTGGATAACTCTGAATTGTCAGGAGAAAATACTTGCTGGTTTAAAATACAACCAGGGTATAAGTTTTGCTCTTGCTGTGAATTTTAAACGAGCAGGTGAGACTCTGATGCCCGAGTGGAGTTGAGGTTAAGCACAGCCTCTAGCCCTGCTGTGCCTTGCTGCAGACCTGTGATGGTGTTTGCTTGGCAGTTCATCCACCCGGGCTTTTCCACTCAGTGTAACGGGTCAAATCCTTCTCCCTCCCTAACAGGAAGCTGCAAACCTTCCTGCTTGTGTGGGTTTCTTGTGATTTTTCTACTGAAATATATATTGTGTGCTTTCTTTAGAGATTCTTAGGGGGATAATTGGTTAATGGAGAAATATCTATGTTGATTTGTAGAAGTAAGTACTTGCACAGTTTCCCACTATATAGGATGCTAAAGCCTGGGGTTTGTGTGATATTACAGGTTTTGAAATCTCCTACTCTTTATCTGGTTTTGAGCAATGTAGCTGGTTTCTGTGAGCTGCAGGGTTCTGTGTTCCAGTGTATCCAAGACTGGAACGGAGCTGAGTGGGCAAAATGCTCCCGAGGCAGAAGGTAAGGCCAGTGCCCAGTGTCTGCAGCACCCAGGGCTGCACTGGCAGCTTGTGAGAAGCCCTGGCTGTTTCTTATTTCCATAAGGTCTTTTTTACTTACATTTCAGATTTGTGTTTTTAATTCCATGACACAGAGCCTCTAAATTTATAAATGGTTCTACTTATCAGATTCTGCATACGTGTTCTTCCTTGTGCTCCTTGTGCAATCTGCACTTCCACGCACCCTTTGTGCTGCTTGCCTTCAGCACTCCTCGGTGCTGCCTTCACAGTTCACCTTCAGTCTTTACTGACAGGTCAGCAATCAGTGAAAATGATGCAAGGACTAAAAGTGGTACAAAGAGAGATGGCAAAATCCCGGATCTGTTCCAGGAAAGGCCTGCTGCCTTCAGAGTGGCAGAATTTTTCCCGGGGCAGGCTGATGTGAAGCAGCCTTTTCCTGTGGCTGTTGGGCAGGAGAAGGATGCCAGTCGTGTCTGTGGGAGCCGAGTGCAGCACGCTGGTGTGTCAGGGAGCTGGGGAGGAGTGCTGTGCTATGGCACAGACCTGCAGTTACAGCTCAGGGGGCTGTCACTGCTGCTGGTGTCACCAGAGAGCTCAGGGAGCTTTTGGCACATGCTGCGGGCTTAGCCTGGAATCCAGAGCCCGGGTGGACTCAGAAAGGAATGGGTTGGGGTCCAATTAGTTCTTAATCTAAAGACTGACTGTCAGTTCACATCTATTTCTTGGTTAGTTTACAAACCACATGGCAGTCTCTTATGGTTACTGACCAAACTTGTATTCAGAAATATGTGCCATAATTATTCCTTGTTGCTCAGCTGTTAGGGAATAGTTCCATTCTCCTATACAACTATCAAGTTATAACTTTACAATTTAAAATTTGAGTGGGATATAAGAAACACCTTCTCTGCTTTCTGTGAGCAGCTCTTGTACCTCTGTGCCTGTTGGTAAGTTCTTAGCACTATTGCAGTTCAAAATTCCTCACAGTTTCATGCCCAATATATGTAATTTCATTTTGCTACTGGTTGGCTGGAGGTTGATGTGCTGGGTAAGAGAGGAGGCACAAATCCTTCCAGTAACTTTAAAGTCACCTTTTCCATGCTTGTAGGTGTGGTGGTGGGGTTTGTTTTTATTTTTTAAACAGAGGAGGAAAAGATAGTTCTGGGAAGTTCAGAATGTAATAGTTGGTTTTTCTGACTTCTATTCAGTAAGCGGAATAGTGTTAGTATTGCTGCTTTGACTTACAGACATCTTAGTTAAGATGATTGTGATCTTTCTAAATGCTTACTGTTAATTAAACGCTTGACTGTGATTGGATTCTGGGCAATTGCTAATGCATAGAAGGAAAAGTAGGCCAAAAAATTAAAGACCATGCAGGAAGTATGACTCATGATCCTTTTCAAAGGGTCAGAGGAATCTGAATATAAATAAAACTTCAATTTAGTACATTATCTGTCTTTTTTACCTAATGAAATAATGATGGGAGTTCATCTTAATAAATATTCTAGAGTACTGAAGGCAGGTGTACTGTATATATTCATTCACCTTCCAAATTTCTAAGCAAGTTGTTAGTTGTAATATGTAGCAGTTAGATTTGTAGGTAACAGTTTCTATTATTACAGCCCAAAGTTAAAGAATATAATGTTAACTGCAAAGTATGGGTATTTTGCAATGTTTGTTGTCCTTAGTAGTGTTTTTTTTGTTGTTGTTGTAATGGTATATGATTATAAACATGCATTAGTAATATATATATATATTACTTCTGAATATACATCTTAACATTACACTTCTAAAAAATGACCCTTTCCCTTTCCCCATGGGCCTCCTTTGAAACTGCACCCAATAGTGAGGCAAAGAAAACCTGAAATCATTAACACTCATTTCTGGCAATTAGAAAATGCTTTGAACTGCACTGTTTAATGTGTAAGGACCAGTGTTACACCTGCATTGCCAATCTGGCTCTTAGACTCTGTATCTAAGGAACTGCAGAGGAATACAGAGTTCAAAGAAAGCTTATTATTTGGAGAAGCATGGACTGTGGTGTTCTCCTATTTAAAAACAAAGATTTATGAAAATATGTCTGGGATCAAGGCTGTAACACTAAGTATTTCACTGGTAATTCTTATAAAAGGAATAATGTTATAAAGGAATAATGCTAAATCATATTAAGATGGAGGAAATTTAATCATATAATGGTGCAGTAAATTACAAAAGTGTTATTCTTTTGTAAAAGCCATCTTTTGTTTCTTATCTACAACATTTAAAAAGCCATCAGCAGCCCATGCAAAATTTTGACTTGAGAATGTTAACAAGATAAATAGACATGTACATGTTTCCTCATGCAATTCATGCATCTGAGGCCCATGTAATATTTCATCCTATTTTCTAAATATTCTTCCAAAGTACTGTAATAAATAAGTTTGTTAAGTAATTATGGAGGAAATGGTAGGACCAATTTTTAAAATACAGTGGTTTCAAGGTCAAGTGTTTCATTACAATTTTTACTTAGCTTTTTGTCAAAAATGTTCTCCAGCTACTTCAGAGTTTAAAAAACTTTGAATCATTAGTCTACTTTGTGCATAAACATTTGCCTTCTTTGTGCAGAATTAAAGTTTAGGCCTTCCAACATCATAATGTGATTAGGTGTGTTTTTGGGGTTTTTTTTGTTGATTAATATGGATTCATATTGAGTCTAAACCCCCCACACTGAGGGGCAGTGAGAAGAGTTTAAGGTACAAATAATAAAGTAAACATTATCATTGGGAGTTACCACTGAACAGTGCAGAGCTACCTTTGATTTAAACTGCAGAGGTTACCTGACCTCAATAAAATGAAGACACACAAATGCAGGTGAGCTTGGAACTGCCCTTCAAAGGCTACAGATCTTGCAAGTATTTTTTAGAGCACGGAGCTAGTGGCAGGGCTGAGTGTTGCCATCATCTCTTGCCATCTGATTTAGTATGAGATTGTACTCAGAGCTGTTTGTTTGCTAATCTTGCCAGTCATAGGTTTTAACCTCTTTCTGATTTTCTCCAGCCAGCACAGCTGCTCTGCTGCCTTAAGCCACTACAACTGTTTTACCTGTTTTCTTCTCTTTGAGTTTTTTCCTCTTGTCACCAGCTCTTCACAGATTTTATATTGATGTTAATAGAAGGAGTAACTAAGAATCACAGCCCTTGTGTTGTAGTCTTAGAATCATAGATAGGTGGAAAAGAGATAGAAAACATATGCAGTCTGTGTAACAAATTATTTGAATGGTCCCATTAAGTAAAATGTACGAGGTACTTATTTTGTTTTTTCTAAGTCTTAATATACTGCTACCATTCCCAGCCTCCTCATGGAGCTCTCCTTTGTTAAAGATGTGTTTTCTAGACCAGTTTACCCCAGTGTGTTAATAAACAGAATAAACTAGAAATATTGAAAAGTGTGGATATGTCTGTGATCAGAAAAAAAAAAGCTATTAAATGAACTATACAAAATGAACTATATTGTTAGTAAATAATGGTCATTGTAATAGATCAGTGAGTGTAGTATAGGTCTGAGTATGAAATGTTTGAAAAATAATCTGTGAGGATATAAAAGCAGTAAAGGAACATGTCCCCTTTTAGCACAGCAGAGGAGATGCTGTGTTTTTGGAGGAGCCTGGTGTGGAAACAACACATACCCTGGGAATGCTGTATCGTTGCACACGAGGTCGTCTTACAGGAACACAGGAATGGTGAAAGTGCAACTTTGCCTCTGCATTGCTTCAAGGTCAATTAATGGAGAGATAATATCCAGCTGCATAGTCAGTCTTAAATTGTACGAAAAATTCAGTTGAGGGTTGTAACTGGAGGAGGGAAATGTAATTAATGCTAATATAAAAATCAAGTATTTATGAAATATTAGGCTGAAATATACACAAAGCCATTCATAATTCAGGAAATAGGGATATATAAATAGAGAAATTAAGTTGTGTCTTCAGGAAGCATTATTTTGGATGTCTGTAAATGAAGGGCTTGGCAAATCTGTGTATAGTTACAAATAAGAAAAAATCCTTGTCTAATGAGGATATACTGAAGCAGTTAAATGTATTTTTGGCACTTGTACATTTACAAGATAACTTGTACATGTGCAGCATTCTGTTGCTGGATCCTTTTTGGCAGCAATTCTCATGTGCTGTGAGTTTTGCTGTATCCAGCTGAGCTCTCCCAGCACTACGGTGTGAGTGGCCCATCGGTTCTTTGCACATCCCACAAGTCCATAGTCTTGAAATGGAGATGTGTAAATTGTACAACACGTACAAATAATAGATCTCAAAGAACAGTAGGTTTGTGAGCAAATGAAATGCACTCTAAACAGAAAGATTTGTATTTTGGGACAGAAGGATGACCTGTCTTAAACCCCAAATGTTGATTTGGCCCACAGCAAGAACCATTTAGCAGCACATTAGTGTAGGGTAAGACTTGTAGGTAAAAAGGGTCCTGCTGCTCCCACTTGGCTGATCCTATTTCTTAAGCTACATTCTGCTTTGCTACTACTGTGGGACTTCAGAGAAATCTGGTTAGTGTGTAAAATAATATTTCTACTGGACTGGCCCACACCTGCAGTGCCAAAGGCAGGGAGCTGCCTTGCAGGGCTCTGCAGTGCTTTGGGTGTTTGTCCAAAGGACTGTACACTAAGCCTTTGCAGCACAGCAGGAGTACAGTGATGAATGGGAGGGACTTTAAAACTTAGGCTGCCCGAGTTAATTTGTTTAGGCTGCAGTCACGTGGGGCTGGGTTAGGTCCGTTCGAATTCGTGGCTTAGGTGGTGTCAGCCAAGCCTCTGCCACAAATGCCCCGTCATGGAAGTGTTGGTCAGCTCTGAGGTAGCTTTTGCATGTTCTGTGGGAATGAGAACTGATCCCCTTTGCGGGTGTGACACTGCCTGACATACTGAGCCATCCTAGACAATTCTAAAATCCTAGTCCTCTTCAGTATCTGTGGATGTTGATGGTAATGAAGTTGACATTCTTTATGCTGCCTTTAATTGATACTTTGTTTCCTTTAGCTTCTTTTATGAGAATGATTAAATACCATCAATTTTTTTCTGCTTGTGTCATTCCTAGCAGATACTCTTCTGTTGTGTTGAATAAATTCACCTCCTCTCCAAACACAGTAATGTTAATCTTTTAAATCTCTCCTTGTATGGATGACTGTCTCTGGTTTTAATCTGTTGATGACATTCTCTGGTGATTTTCTGCTTCTGATATATCTTTTTTTAGATGGATACTGTTAGTAAGCACATGATTTCTAGGGTGGTTGTGCCACAGATTTATGTAATAGCATAATATTTTAAGTCTGCATTAAAAAGAGATGGTGGTGAGCTCCTTTCTTTTGTTTATGTTGTCCCTTAAACTGATGATAATAGTTGCTAGGTCTTTTTTTGGCAGTAGTTCCCTTTCACATTTCATTGGTAAGCAGTAAAAATCTTTATCTAGAACATATGTCAGTGTTCTCTGGTGGTCATCCTAGCTTATGTCTGGGGACTGGAGACCCTTCCGTGCAAGGTGATGTGTGTAGTTTGTGCTTCCCGAGGCAGCAGCCATCTTCAGGACTTTCACACCACCTTTGGAAGTTGTTCTTGCTCAAGTTATTTAGCTAGACACAGATCTTCCTGTTTTTCCTCTTCTCTCTCTCCATCTTCCCCAAAATGACTCCTTGAGATCTGTGAAAAAGAACTAGAAAGGTGCATTCCAGTCAGTGAAACATTAGAATGGGTAGAGCTGACTGGTAAATTGTTTGGCATATGCATCTAAGACACAGAGCAGTGTGAAGGAAAGTGCTCTACAAGTGCAGCAAAATTTGTACGTGGTAAATGTGCCCAAACATTCGAGGAAATACATTAAACATGAAGAGACTGAGGTATCAAACAGGACTGCAAGTTGTGCAGTGTATACAGATGTGTCATGTGGGTGTAGGTTGACACAACTTCAGTCCCTCATAGATCAGCTTTGAATTTTTGAGGAGTTCCATGGTTGCATGGCATTGGGTAAATGATATAAGAGCTTTTTGCCTACTGAGATTAGGTTAATGTTCTTGAGTCATCAATTTTAAAAGTGTGATAATGATATGAAGATGCTAATAAAGCCTGGTAGCTTTATGAAATTCTGCTTCTACAACCATGGGCGTGCTTCTAGAGAGAAGGAGATGAGATGAGAAATTGAACTCTGCATAAAAAAAGCTGTAACTATTTGGACACAAGAATGCAGATGTACACAGCTCATTTGAATCAACGTTAATATTTTTTTCTTTTTTTAAATATAGCTGTATCTGAACCTTCTTTTATTGCTAAAAGTGAAGATCGTTTGTTTAAGCATTTATTTGAAGACTATCAAAGATGGGTTCGTCCAGTGGAACGCTTGAATGACACCATAAAAATCAAGTTTGGCCTTGCAATCTCTCAGCTAGTAGATGTGGTATGTATAGTAAATAAGTTGTATTTTTTTCCCACTAACTTTAAAAGGAACATAATTTTATGTGTAATAATTGTGCCTGTTAAACACACTAGATTATGCATCTTCAATTATTAACTGTGTAATAAAAATGGTCTGTAGATGGATATATAATGTTCTCATATAAACATACTTAGTGATTGGAATGTGATCAGCAATGTGTTTTGTATTTTAAGTTGCAGACCTTTGAATTAAAGCAGCTGTTTCCTATGGATAGATTATTTTTTGTGATGTGTGCTTTATTTTACAGGATGAGAAAAATCAATTGATGACAACAAATGTATGGTTGAAACAGGTATGTGTAAAATATTGATGAAAAATTTTGAAGCTTCATAACTGCAAATCAAAATTTGGGACAAACTTTTCTAGTTAATTGTATATTCAAAAAACTTAGTTCTTGCATGAAATTTTATTTCATGTAGTATCTTTATAGAATGTCCCAGGAAATACCTTAAAGGATTAATTGTGACAAACCTCTTAAAAAAACCCATAACAACAAGGTAAATAAAAATTCACCAAATTAAAAGAAATCTGATATGGCATTGCATGGCCATTTAATATACCAAGGTGTATATATCCAACCATAAATTGCTGCTTTGGTACAAAAGTTTTTATTCAAAAGCTTTATTTAGAAAAGTATGGTTGGTGTATTCTTCTGTATAACAGTTTTGAGGTTGTTTTCCTGTGGGATATTTGAAATTATTGGATCTACATTACTGAAGAATTCCAGTTTCAAAATTAAATACACTTACTAGAAGGAAATACTTTTTTTCTCCTGAGAATATTTGGGTTTGGGCAGGAAAAAGCCTCAAGCTTTGTAATTGTAAGAGTCCAGTGCTAAACTTAATTGCCACTGTTTACTTGCATAATGCTGCTCACAAATCATTCCTGATTTAGCTGAGAAGGATCTTTGCAGGTGCTGGCTATACTTACTAGTTTATGGAATTATTTTTGTTCGGGCTAATTCCTTTCTGTTTGTTTATTTGATTTTTTTTTCTTCTTTTTGCTTCCTATTCCCTTCTTTTCCAGTAATTATAATTTTAGGCCAAGTTTTTATTTTTAGGAAAACTTATGAGATGGCCATTTGGGTTGATGATTCTTTGTGCTCTCTTTAATAGTTTCTGCAGATCTTCTTGAAGTTGAACCAGTCTTAAGAATTGGAGCATGATGGGTTTTTTTGTATAATGAAAATGTCTAAGTTGCTTCTGATGAGCTTCCAGTCATTGGTATTCATCCAGAACAAGCTTTCTTCAAATTTCATTTATACAATTAAATTACATTGTAATAGCTCTTACTTATAAATACATGCTCTGAAAAAGGAACATCATATCTTAAGTTCTGTACAGAAACATTGTCAAGTAGCTCTTAGAACAGAAAACAAATAGTGAGTGAGGTAACTACGTGCCTGTTGAGCAAATTCATTGTTTTATGCAAATTTTAGAAACCAGTTTGATTGCTGTTAATTGCCTTGTTATCTGTTTTCATCTGGTATCACCCTGCTTAAATCCACTTCTCAATAATAATGATTTTTACATCTCACATATGCACAGGAATGGATAGATGTAAAACTAAGGTGGAACCCTGAAGACTATGCTGGAATAACATCCATCCGTGTCCCATCCGATTCTATTTGGATTCCAGATATTGTGCTGTATGACAAGTAAGATTTGAATCTTTTCATACAAAATGCATTTCCTCTGTAACTTCACTGACCAAACTGCTTCTAGGAGGCTCATGGGATAGGCATAATGGATGCATTTAGTGGGCTAAGAACCTGTGGAAAAACTTGCCTCTGAATGCAAATGGACTTTGTTGCCACATTAAATGCTCAAATGTTTTGCTTTACTTCTGAATGAGATTTCTAGTCCCTTTGAAAAGGTTATTTCCATTTTGTTGTCTAAACGTTTTTCTTAATTAGAAAAAAATGTCTTGCACAGTGCTAGGTATAAATAGAGTGATGGGAGGGAAGCAACTAATTTTTGCTGTTGTAGGTAATATTCAGCATGGAATAGAAGTCAGGTACATTTAACTGTAAGGGGAGATTGGGTTGATTTTGGTTTTTTCTTTGGAAAATTAAGAGATCTCAGGAAAAATAACTTTTGAATTAATCCTTCTGCACAACTCAGGTGCAGATACAGTGCTTTTACATTTCCTCACTTGTTGAGTCAGGATAAAAGGCTCGTGCAGTAAATTCAGGTTTGGACACAAGCATTATTTTACCTGTTTCGTGACTCTTTTAATTCATAATTACTATTTGGCCAAATTTAAAAGTAGTTATTCTGTCTTACTAATAAGAAACACCAGAGCTGGGTCATGCTATTAAAGATCAGGATTTTACAATCCTTTCATAAGTCATTGGAGCCATAGAAATTTGCACAGATCTTTACAGGACTTGAAAATATTCTTCAGTCTTCCAAAGCTGTTTACCTATGTGAGATTCAGATTTGAGGGGAAAAGTTGACTATGAAGAGAATACAAAAGTTTGGTTATCAAGGGACAGACAGCTGAAATGACAATAACAAAGCATAATTTCTTCCTTAAGTACACTCCCATGCCTCACTGTAATTGCCTGCATTTCTCTCTTCTTTCAGTGCAGATGGACGTTTTGAGGGAACATCTACAAAAACTGTGGTAAAATATGATGGCACCATTGCTTGGACTCCACCAGCAAACTACAAAAGCTCTTGTACTATTGATGTAACATTCTTCCCCTTTGACCTTCAAAATTGCTCAATGAAGTTTGGTTCCTGGACTTATGATGGCTCACAGGTTGATCTAATTCTTGAAGATTATGACGTTGACAAAAGAGATTTTTTTGATAATGGAGAATGGGAAATAGTGACTGCAACAGGGAGCAAAGGGAACAGGACTGATGGGTGCTGCTGGTATCCTTTTGTTACATATTCATTTATAATTAGACGTTTGCCACTTTTTTACACTTTGTTTCTCATTATTCCTTGTATTGGGCTTTCATTTCTAACTGTCCTTGTCTTCTATCTTCCTTCAAATGAAGGTGAAAAAATTTCACTCTGCACTTCAGTGCTGGTATCTTTGACTGTTTTTCTTCTCGTTATTGAAGAAATTATTCCCTCATCCTCTAAAGTTATCCCGCTCATAGGAGAGTACTTGGTGTTCACGATGATTTTTGTGACCTTGTCCATCGTGATCACTGTCTTTGCTATCAATATCCACCACCGCTCCTCGTCCACACACAATGCCATGGCCCCCTGGGTTCGCAAGATATTCCTGCACAAGCTGCCCAAGCTGCTCTGCATGAGGAGCCACGTGGACAGGTACTTTGCTCAGAAGGAGGAGACAGCAAATGTGAACGGATCAGAGTCATCCAGGAACACCTTGGAGGCGGCTCTGGACTCCATCCGCTACATCACGAGGCACGTGATGAAGGAGAATGAGGTTCGCGAGGTGGGTGTGTTAGTCCTGCTGCTCTGCTTTTCTACAAGTGGGAATCAGAAAGACTAAAAAAATTACAGGTGCTTTACAGTGCAGTTGCATACTAAAGATGTGCTACAGATTTCCAGCTTTTGTAGTTTGCTGAAAGCTAAGATGTTGTTTCCACTAGAAAAAAGTGCAAATATGGTACAATGCTGAGAATATTTGGCTGATACAATGCAGTATTTGGGGTCTTTAAAAGTCTTTTGCTTTGTTTTAGAAGTTCTTGTCATTAGCTACATATTGTCTGTGACAAGAGCATGTGCTGTAACTGTTCCCTACAGCACTGCTGAGATGATGGGAGAAGCAGCTCTTGTTCACTTTAATGCTGTACCTGAAGGCTATCTTGAAAAATGTATCTGCCTTACATTTTCCAAATAAATACTGCCAAGACTTATCTTGCAGCTTTCAATTCCAAATAAAAACAGATTCAGTGCTCTAATTATATTAGTTTAAATACAGGCTATAGCCAGATGTTGGTAATTTTGTGCTCAGATGAAACATGGGCTCAATGACTTTCTAAGAGTGCTCTTCTACCCTTACTATTATTTGTCCCTAAGTTTTATCAGAAGATGTCAGAGGCTTTTTTTCAGTCTGTGCATTTGCACTCTGAGTTATCCTTAATGAACATTTACAACATTTGTGTAAGAGCATTGGAAATCTGTGTTCTTTACATGCTTTTTAAGCTAGCACCATTGCTACACGAGAGACTGAGATGCTGTTTCCAGTCTAGTATAGAAGTTTGTAGAAATACAGAAGTTTGTTGTGTACTGTTTCTGATGGCAAAGCCTGAGGCTTTTTCAGTCTATGTGGGAATTGCTGTCTTCAGAAGGCTCTGGTTGCTGAGAGTTTTCTCCCATACGAGACTAGGAGTGATGTGCCTCCTCTAATGTGCCTTCTCGGGACTTGATTCTGACATTGTCACAAGGGACATGGCCTAGATTTGTAATAAATGTATCTGCTGTGCTGTTAAAACAGCATCTAATAACCCTGCATGGTATGAACAACAGAAATAGAATTGTTTGCTATTAAATACATCATTTCCTGTAAATTGAGAGTTGACTGTGAGTGACAAGTAGTATTTTGGTTTTGAAGTGTAATGTTGTTACTATAAGCCTTGGAAATTAATATACAGCTGATTTGGGGATTCACTTGTTTTATTATTACTGGGCTCCAGAGGATGCAAGCTTTAATTGCAAAAGTTGTTAATAAGCACGAGACAGCTAGTGCTATTGCAGCCTTACATCTCAGGAAGCATTAGGCTTGGGAAACATGGATAGCTCCAGTCCAAATCCAAGACAATTGTTTGGCAGGGTTTTAATTTGCTTGCACAATTGTATCTGCAATACTTGCAAAACTGTGTATAGATAGGAATAATTTTATCCAAAAGAAAAGTAGTCTTGAAACTACTGGGAGTATTCTCCCCAGCATATAATTCTATGCAGTAGCTTTGCAGCTTTCAGCAGTTGTTTGAAACACAACAGCTGCTCTGTACTGACAATTTAAAAAAAAAAATTATTAATATTTGGGAGGTTAGGTTTTGGTTTTCTGGTTAGTTTTTTGTTGTGGGTTGCTGGTTTTGGTTGGTTAGAGTTTTTTTACAACTTCCAGCTCCTTCTTGGGAATTCCACATTTTGGTGTCATGTGCCATGAATGCTGCAGTATGTTAGAAAATGGCAGGCCAGTCTCATCTCTGTAGATGAGGATGTTTGGTGCTTCTCAGGGTCAATTTCTGCATCAAAATCTACATTGCTTATCAATCTTCACAGAGGGAAGCTTGCTTCTGTACTAACTCACATAATTATAATTAATATAATCATAAAATGTTGTTCAAGAGGGTTATCATATGGACATGGTTGAAAAAAGTGTACTTTGAAATAACTAAGAAATGCAGGATTTGGTACTGTGTTTTTACCTGTTGTTGCACATACTGACCAGCTCTTGTGCTCTTTGTGTTTTAGGTTGTTGAAGACTGGAAATACATTGCTCAGGTGCTTGATCGAATGTTCTTATGGGCTTTTCTTCTGGTTTCAATAATTGGATCACTTGTGTTATTTATTCCTGTTATTCATAAATGGGCAAGTATAGTAGTACCTACCCATATAGGCAGTACAAATGCATAAAATATTTTTGGAGCCACGTCCTACTGATCTGGCTCTAAGTTTTGCAGTAGCTCTGTTTCCATGCATGTTCTTTGTAGGCATGTTTCTGATAGAGAGAAAAAAAATCCTAAACTAGAAATTTAGTTTTTTCTTAAAGCATGGCATTCCCAGGACACATAGAAGTCAATTTGCTTATTGCCAGTCTACTGAGCTACTGCTAAGCCAGGTCACAATTCAAAGAACCTGCTCAAGCCACGGCATGTATGATTTATCAAAAAAGCATACACTGACACCTACTGTGATATAGAAGGATTTCAATTTTTTAATGATGATCACTGTAGTCCAATTATTAAATAACTATAGAAATTGTTATACTAAATATTAAATATTTGCAGTTACACAATAGAGATGCTTGTTTCAATTTAGTATACAAAGGAGAATTTTTATCAGTTCTCTTCAGGGTGTTGTAGAAGTCTGAAATTTTGCCAGAGTAATTTAAAACAATAAAAATGCAAGTTCAACTTCCTGTATATATAATACACAACTAAGAGCAGAAATTTGGCCGTGTTTGGCCTTTATAGATTTTCAGTGGAATTTGCTGCTAAACTTTAAAGCTTAATTCTGTGATACTAACATGAGGATTTAATAAGCTTTAAAATGCCTAAAGCATTTGTGTATATTGATGTCTCCATCAGCTTTGGAAAGGAAGGCAAAGGCAGGTAACTGAGTTCCCAAATTGCATAAGTATTCTAAGGGGCTGGAATATTCAGATTTCTTTACTCTTGATGAAGAATTTGATACAGTATGTGAGTTTGCAGACATGTTCATTATTTCCTGTCTTTGGGTGCTTCCTCAGAATTAAATTTTAAGCCCAGGCAGAAGGAATTTGTGGAGCATCTTTCTGAAGGAAATGGGTTGTAAATCATTTTGCTGTGGAGCCAAATGGAGATGATTAATGGATTTCACATTTGTTAAACTGAACTTAAGAGAGCTACCTTGGATTAGTTCTTCCATTTATAAAACCATATGTAACTCTCAGCAGCAAGGACTTAGAATTTTCAATATTTCCTTTTTCCTAAGATCACTGAAAACGAACTTGCCATTTTTCAATTATTCATTAAAATACATAAAAATACATTAAAATGTATTTTTACATTGATTCCAATGCCACCTTTCTTCCTTCCTTAGTAGCTTTATTTCTGGAAAAGACTCTAAAAAGTTGGGGGTTTTCCTACACTAAAGTTTTTTCAGTGTTGTTCATGATATAATTGCATTCTATAGGCCTAATACAGGAGTGCCAGGCCAGAGCAAATCTTAGGAAGTTTTTGTTTGCTTAAATTACTTCATGAATAATGACATGTTTAGGTGAGAAGTTTTAATGTAAACTGTGGTATCTTCAACGATTTTAAGGTTTTATAGTGATTATAAATTTGAACAACAGATACATATTTCTCCCACACCCCCTCCCAGATCTCCTTTAGAATAGCCCTGCACTGATTATAATAGTGATTGCTTATGTCATAACTTATCTAAAATTGAATATTTATTTCAAAATGTTGTAATCTGCAGGATGTTCTTGGTTTTGTGTAGCTTTTAAAGGCTCACAGGCAGGGAAATGATACCAGGCAGGCCTTTTTTTTTTTTTTTCTTTCTTTTTTTTGAAGCAGCAGTTAAACAGAGTTTAACTCTTCTTCAGTTACACAGTTGCATCTGACATTGGATATCCATGTTTCCTGTCTTCCCATCATAACTTTAAAGGTGAATTTGCAAAGATTATCTGATTTAATTCATTAATATAAGAGCTTTAAAACTTCTCAGTATTACTGGGGTTAAACAATGCATCAAAGTCTTTCTCTGTGTGCAAGTTGCAGAAGTGCTTCAGATGGTTTGTTTCCTCTTCATATAATTTCTTTTTAAAGTCTTCCATAGGTTTGAATTACTGAGATTTACCTGAAGAGAGAGTGGCTACAACTGTAGATTAGATATATATCATATATTTTTAACTCTCCATTTCATCTCTTTCCCCCTGTTAAATGATGTCTCCAGGCTGCCCAGTTATATCATAGTGGGCAGCACATTGCCCAGTGCAGTGACTCTCTTTGTTATAGTAACTCATAGTTTTTGCAAATGCATGAATTTCTTTTAGTGACTTCTGGTCTGATCATCATAGATTCAGATAACACAGCTGGAATCCTTGGGGTCTTCTGCTTATCAGGTGTGTCTGAAACAAAAGAATGTTAATATCCTCAGAAGCATGGACTTACTTCTGTAACTTCTGCTGAATGTATTGAACTGTAGGTAATGCTACCTTATCTAGATTTCTGTCACTCGCTCAAAATAAATGAAAAAAAAAGGCACAATTTTCAACAGTTTGATTCTCTTTATTTTCATAAATGTTACATCACTTGATATGCTGTATTTCCACAAAGTTTTCTGTTTGGTACAGAGAGAACAGTTTGTATTTTTACAAAATATGATCTGATTACGGTGTTTTGTTGCATTCTTTATTCATGCTCTTAAATAATCTGCAGTTACTGAATTAAAAAAAGATACATATGCCTAAGCAACAATTTTAGCACAATGTAGTTTTTTTTTACAGGACTGTTTTTGTCTACCTGCCTTCTCTTGGCATAAAACACTTCACTGCACCAGGATGCCTCTGTATCCAAACTATCCTGTCAGAGTATTCTGATCCTTTGCATCACTTGCAGACTGTCTTATTGTGTGTTTGACTTGTACCCAACTCTAAACATTATTAGGTTTGAGCAGCTTTGTTTCCTGACAGCCTTCACATACATTGCTGTCTGGAGACACGTAGAGTTTACTTTATGGCTGCTTTAGAAACCACCATCTCTTATTTACCTATTTGTTCTCCTTTTGTAATAAACCTCTCCTCAGTCCTTTCCTGCCTCTGTGTGGGTCAGTTTGTCCAACAGGTGGCCGTGTCTGCATTCCAGCCGTTTGGTACTTGAGCTTCCCAGCATTCCATCCTGGCCAGGGCATTCATGGAACTCCTTCCAGAAGATCCTGTTGTGCTCTCAGGAGTCTTGGCACCAGACTGTGAAACAAACCTAGCAGCCCAAAGCATTCAACCCATCTTGACTTAACAAATATTTGTGTAATTTTCCATTTCTTTATTAACCCCTTCTTAAATCATTCCTATAAAGTTTAACATACTGCCTCCATGTTCTCCAGCTGTTGCAGGAAGTAGCTGTAGAGCATAGCTCGTATTACTTTGAGATTAGCTGTCATAAAGGTTTCCAAAAATTTCTTTTTCCACAATTTGAACAAAGCTGCCTTGGTCAAGCAAAGTTGAAGCCAAGGGAAATCCTTGTTCTACTACATATGGAAGAGACATGAGGTGCTGGGAGGGGGATGCAGAGTTCGTTGGCAGTTTTATGTGATTTCACAACATTTTATTTAATCTTTACATTTCATCTCCAGCCATCAGAGGTTGTAAAAACAATCCTGCTGTTCCTAGAATACATACCAGGATGAAAACCCATAGAAAAATACGATCAATTACCATGGCAACATATTTCCAATCATCCTGAATCTGAAAAGAAAGAAAAAATAGCAAATTGGCATGTTTATTAGGGAAATAAGTTGCATTAGCAATAATACTGTTTCCTATAAGAAGCAGTTTTTTCTGTGTGTAGATATCTTTATGAATGCACAACTTACACATCTGTTTTCACTGACAAATAAAATAATCTCAAAGAAGCTTTATTTGAATATGCTCTTTGCAGCCAAAAGCTGCTGCTTCAAATCCAAAAAGTTGTTCACCAAGACACTGGACTTGAGGAGACACAACTCTATTCCAAAAATGTAAAAGTTTAAAGCTTTGCATTCTTAGATGAACAGGTTTTCCCAGAAAATATTACTGAAACAGGCTGTTCCTACTGGTCTTTAGGTAGCATGTAAAAAGCAAAGATTAATTGCATATAATTATTTGGTACTTTATTATGTAGTACTGAAATTTGACTGTTTTCATGCACGACGTAAAATTCATCTCTATACTTTTCATGTAAAAAGGGGACCAAGTTTCAAAAAACACCAGATTTTTCTAATTTTGTTATTTTTACAGTGAATTTTATAGCAAGAGGGACAATGAAGTATTCTATAGTTATATAGTAATAGTAACTTGGTGATCATTTTAATTACTCTTGAGATAACAATTCAAGTTTTTTGTTTCTCTTCAAGAATGATAAGAAATGGATAATGCATTTATTGTTTTTGAAATTTGTTCTTTTTAGCTTAGAACTTGTTTGTTAAGGGAAACTTAAAAACCCAGAGCAACCCTGCATTTTCTGTACCAGCTAAACCTAAACAGAGTTCTGGTTTCAGTATAAACAAAGTGAAGTTAGAATGAAGCATCATAGTTTGGGGATTTAAAAATTGTGATGGTGTGGCTACTGCTCATAGTATGTTGGATGAACACGGTAAAAAAACACCTTTTCATTTTTTTCCTCCTTTCCTGTATTAAGATGCAGCTTTATGAAAGATGCTGGTCCCTGTCTTGCAGTAGCTGCCTCATTTAGCTCCAGCACTTCACTCTGCAGCAGCAACAGAATGAGCACCATCATCACTGTGAGGGACATTCACTCTGACATTTCTGTTGCTAATGGTAAGCTGTGGGAGGGAGAATGTAACTTTCTAAAGGCCATAGGGTCAGCAAATTCTACTATTAAGATTATAACTTGGAAAATCCTAACTTCAGCTCTCATGGGATGGGTGCTTTGGTTTGTTCCCCAGCAGTGGTTACCTTAAGGTGCCTCACTCAGTATGTATATTGTCAATAAAGTGATCACAGTGCAGCAGAGCTGCTCCTGAATTATATAAGTTCAAAATTGCACTTATTTGTAATACAGCTTGTGTAATTTACTTGCATAAAATAATGGTCTTTTATCTTTTTGTCTGTTTGTTTGAGATCTTTTTCTTACCAAACAGTCTAATGGCAAAAGGTATCTGCAGTTTGAGTAACAGTAAAATATATTCTTACCTCTTTTGCTTCATTCTGCATTTTCATATTTTCTGCAATGTATTTCACACTTTCAATAGCATCTCTCATTTCTGGTGACAGAACTGAAAAGGAAAGCATAGGATCTACAGACTCAGAGCTTGAACTTCTAGTGAGATTGCCACTGAAATCCGAAAACTTTGTGTGCTGACACTGACAGCAGCTGCACGCCATGTCTTGACAAACAAAGCCATCTTTGCAGCATTTGGTTTCAGAACCGTTGATGCAATTCAAGTTTGAAAACTCAGAAGTGAATAATGGTTTTGGCTTCTGATTATTCTCCTCATCATTGGCAGGCCTTGTCATGAACATGATCCGGGGAAGTAAATTCAAGAAAATGGTTCTCACCCACACAGGCATTGTGTGTGTCTTGGGTGTTCTGTAGTGCACATTGAGTACAAATACTGTGATGACAATTGATAAGGTTACAAAGATCATGGTGAAAAGGAGGTATTCCCCAATAAGGGGAATTACCAAGGAAGTAGAAGGTATGGTTTCTGTGATAACAAGAAGGAACACTGTTAAAGAGAGAAGCACTGATATGCAGAGTGTCACCTTCTCACCACAGTCTGAGGGCAAATAGAAAACTAATACAGTCAGAAAAGAAATCAGCAGACAGGGAATAATCATATTGATAGTGTAAAACAAAGGTAAACGCCTAATGTAAAGAGAATATGTGATGTCTGGATATATCTCTTCACAACAGTTGTATTTGATGTCGTGTTTATACCCAGGAGCTTTAATTATAGCCCATTCTCCACTCTCCCAGTAATCCTTCAGGTTCATTGTAGAACCAATTAGAACTAAGTCAATTTTGGCTTTGTCGTAAGACCAGGAACCAAACTTCATGGTGCAGTTCTGATAATCAAATGGGAAGTAGGTTACATCTATTTTACATGAACTTTTAAATATAGCTGGAGGTATCCATGTCACATCACCCGTGTATTTTAAAAGGGCCTTTGTCTTGTCATCAACCTGGAAATCTCCAACTGCACTGTAAAGCAAGTAAAAATAACAAAAATTAGAGTGATCTACTCCAGGTGGTTTCATACATTCAGATTGTATACATTAACTCTTTCATCTGTTTTGGGAAGTCAGCAATTACTTGTTTACTTGGAGCTGAATTGCTCATGCAAGACTGAGTCGGTGACCATCATAAACTGAAGCAAACAGCTCT